GAAGTGTTCCTCCTACCACCTTGCTTCCCGGTGCGTGCTGATGGGAGATGCTGCTCATGCTGTTGTGCCCTTCTACGGACAAGGCATGAATGCAGTAAGTTCACAGCTTGCCCTGGACTGTGTCAGTCAGGTCCCCACTCTTTTCACCCAGAAATGCCCATTTTTAGAGTGTAGCTCCACAGAACTCATGGGCTGACCCATTCCACAGTTTGATGTCCTCTGCATGGGCAGGTGTTGAACTCCTTCCAGATACCTGTCTGCTTGATTGGACCTGGCTGCATTCTGGAGAGCAGATAAGGGACAGGACAGTGGTGCCACCTTTCCACGAGGCAGAGGACTACTTGGGAGCGGGTGGGGATGGGTGGCCCAGTAGGAGACCCAGGATGCTTAGGAAGGCCACCTACTACCATTGCTCTGCAAAATCCCTGTCAGGAAGCCTCCTGCTCTGAAGCTGTGGTCACACAGCTGTGACACTGTGCTTGACAACAGCTACATTAGTTAAGGATATATGAGGGCATTTCTTGTGAATGTGTGACTCCTGCTGCCTATTTACCTTCCCATCTTCCTCCCAGGGCTTTGAGGATTGTCTGGTCTTTGATGAATTGATGGACCAGTTCCACAATGACCTTGGTGAGTGAGATGGCTGAAGGGAAGCTCTGTGGAGCTGAAAGCAGCTGCAGGCCCTGCTGGGGAGCTGCCTGTGAGCAGCTGCTTTCTTTTCCCAGGTGCCTGCCTCCCTGAGTTCTCTAGGCTGAGGGTGCCAGATGACCATGCAATCTCAGACCTAGCCATGTACAACTACATAGAGGTAAGCGAACAGCACACGGGCTGTGGTCCTGGGGACCATCCCTGCAGCGGTGTCCTGCCTCGTTACCCAGTGAGGAACCCACAAGTGGACAGGGAGATGGCAGCTCTCGCAGTGCTGCCTTGGGGCCCTGTCAGGGGGCATCTGAATTTGTCTGTTTGCTTGCTCTGTGCTGGCAATGCTCAGGCCGGGCAGGCTCTGCTCCCCATGGTACCTGCCTGAGACAGGCAGCGAGAGCTTAGGGAAGAGCTATCAAGGAGCATGGGGCTCTGCCAAGACATCCAGGTGGTGATCGCTCTGTTGCAGATGCGAGAGCACGTCAATTCAACATGGTTCATTTTCCGAAAGCGGGTAGACAACTTCCTCCATGCCCTCATGCCTTCTACCATCATCCCGCTCTACACAATGGTAAGGCCAAAACTTGCTCCCCACGATCCTAGCTCACTGTGAGCTGCTTCCACCTGGCTCAGAGGTGGTGACCTGACCATGCAATCCCCCAGGTGACCTTCAGCAGAATTCGCTACCACAAGGCACTTCAGCATTGGAAATGGCAGAAAAAGGTAAGAGTTTGTGGCCATCCTCCCCTTGCTGTGAGCCCCACATCCTGCATACCGGCACTGCCCAGCTGCAGGGGAGAGAGCTTTGGTGGTGGGATATTGCCAGGTGGGTGAAGGTGTTGCGACAGCCCACCTGCAGGAGGGTGGCACAGGGGAAAGCCTAGGGGGCCATGCACATGCAGGGTACTGTGTTTCCCTTGCTGGCAGCTCCCTGCCTGGAGCTGCTCCTTCAGCCCGGATAATCCTTTTCAGCTGACATCCTCCTGGCACGTGCTGGGTGAGGGCTGCTCTTTTGGCTGGCACCAGGCATCTGGGCTGTTTGGCCAAGGGGCTTCACTGGTCGCTCAGGATTTCTCTTTGTACTTGCAGATAATTAATCGAGGGCTCTTCATCATGGGGGCAGCAGGACTAGGCGGCATCTACCTGCTCATAAAAAGACTGGCATGGAACTCAGACATCTGTGTACAGAGCTTGTGGGGCTGGTGCCGTTACATCAGGAGTATTGGAAAATTTCCCTTCAGCACCCAAGTGGCTCAAATGTAAGGGGAGGTCCCAGATGTAATAAAAGCAATGGCACAGGTGTCTGTTTCAGTTTGATGTATTTTGTTTTTCTTGGGATGTAGCCTGGCAACTCCTGCAGCCCTTCTGTCTGCTGCTCCCCAAGGGAAGCAATGGTCCCTCTTCCTCTCCCCAGGTCAGAGGAACTCACTGGGTTACAGAGAACCTACAGAGCCTTTGCAAGGGCTCATGTCTCTCTGCCTAATCTCAGTAGCATTGCCTCTTGAGCAGTGCTGCATGTCACGGGCTGGGCATGGGTTTTGTGTGCAGTAATGTGGGGAGCACACACCCTCCTAGCCAGCCAGACACTTGAATGGGTCAGGGTGTATCAGTCCATACTGGGACTGTCCCAATATTGCTGGCTCAGAAGTCAACTCTTACCAAAATCTGTTTTTGCCCCACTTTTTATCCTCCCCTCCACCCTTTCCCAGTTGGATGAGAGATATCTCCAGGTATCTCAGCTTCATACTTAGAAGGCTTGGCTTACAGGCATGAGGCTGCCTATTGTACCCATGCCTCTAGAGCTGAGCAGGCTCATGCAGCACCCATTTTGAGGCACTCTGCAGGCAGGGTCACATTTCTCCTTCTGAAACACCTTAGTAATCTGTGAAAGAAATGTATCCCTGCCATATTGTTGGTATTTTCTCATAAATAATTCAAAAGCTACCACATAGTTTGAAAAATAGATCATAGAATCATAGAACTGCTTGGGTTGGAAGGGACCTTAAAGATTATCTTGTTCCAACCCTCCCTGCCATGGGCAGGGACACCACCCGCTAGATCAGGTTGCCCAGGGCCTTGTCCAACCTGATCTTGAATACCTCCGGGGATGGGGCATCCACAGCCCCTCTGGGCAACTTGTTGCAGTGCCTCACCACCCTCTGTGTGAAGAATATCCTCCTAACCTCTAATCTAAATCTCCCCTCTTTTAGTTTAAATTCGTTCCTCTTTGTCCTGTCATTATCTGATTGAACAAAAAAGTTTTTATCCATCTTTTCTATAGCTCCCCTTTTAAGTACTGAAATTACATACGTATTTTGCCTGCAATTCTTGCATCTGAAAATGCTATTTAAAATTTGCAACCCTTTTTCTTTATTGCTTTTCTGTCAAGACACATTTCTTTTAACTCCACTGCTGTCTGTGTGCTATGTGGGTAAGTTCCTCTATCCTGGCTTCCTTACCTCCTGTGCCCCTCACAAGTAGCAGTCACCAAGACATTGAAAACAATATTATCTCAGTGTCCATGCCTATGCACTGGCCAGTGTGCTCAAAAGCTGTGCCCTGCTTAGATGTGCTATATTTCAGGTGAACTTGGGAACGTGAGCTAATTTGTGCTTTTGGAACAGTGTTTGGAAGGTTCTTGGTTGAAAATCAGCCAGCTTCCTTTCGCCAAGGCAAGGAAAATACAGTTGTTTCATTTCTATCAAAAATAAATTAACCTTAAGAAAGGATGTTCAGTGTCACTGCCTGAAGTCTGGAGGAAGGGCCATTTCACACCTGCCTGTGAAATACTTATGACTGTTGCAGTCATGTCCACAAGGGCTCCACCACCAAGTCTTTGGACTAAAGCAAGACCAAGGGGCATGAAGGACCCTCTTAGCTCAGGTTTCGCTCTTGGCTTTTGTACATATCCTAGGATATACTTCTGTCTAGTGCAATTACTGGTCATATTTCTCTTAGAAAAGGTCTGAATCTCTGTGCTTGCATTCCCCATTGAGTTTCTCTAACTGTTCTGCTAAACTTGTTCACATTTGTGCTTGTACTGCATGGCCTACACCAGCAGTGAGACCCACAGCTACTGATAAGGGAGATTCTCTCTTTGTGTTTGAGTAATAAAAGCCTCTGTCTGGGTACTTGGCAATGGACATTGCGTCACAGACCTGGAGCCCTAGAGTGGTGCCTCTGGAGTCTTCACACAGCCAGGTGTGGGGTGAAGACTTGGCTGAAGTTTTTTTGATATGTGCTTCAGCTGCTGCCCTAGCACCTGATTCTTAGTAGGACGTATGCAGATGTATTCATATATTAATTTTTATTAACTTTAAACATATTCATAGGGCAAACAGAGATTTGACATAATATAGCTATATGCAAATTATTCCCAAACTTGAAGCAAATACAGAACTGTACACATTTCAAAATAATGATGATGGCATAAGAGGACCTAGCTGCTGTGCAGAATTTGAAAAAGCACTGAGCTGGAGATGCTCTGTGTAATGCGAAGTCTTTTGCATTCCTGGTTCTGAGCGTGTCTGATGTAGATCTAGACCTGGAAGACGGTAGAAGAAGCTGTTGCTGAAGTCTGAGCTGCAGGCAATGTTTCACACGTTCATTACCTCTGGTGCTGATGTTCTATGGTTCAGATTGCTGCTGCTTTGCTTCCTTGTCATGCAACACTCTCAAGGCCTGCTGGAGGTAAGCCAAGCTTTCAGGAGCCCAGGTAGAAATGTGGAGGAGCCCGTCGTAGCTCTGAGAAGGGATAAACACTGAGGAGCAGCTGATGACTTAGAAAAATAAATCAGTGCATGTTTCCTTGCTGTCCATCACCTCCAGGTACAGCAACATCCAGAGCAGACCCCCAGCCTGGGGGCCCTCCACATCCTTCTCATAAGTGAGTACTTTAGAAAAGAACTGCAAATGCAACAGTGGAGAGCAGTGAAGCAGGGGAAGGCTGGGCATGGAGGAGCCTCTGAGCGGAGCCTGCTGGAGCAGAAAGGTAATAGCAGTTTTGAAATCACAGCCGGAAGCACTATGTGCACTACGCTGTTTTTGGAACTTGATCTCCGAAGGTCATGCCACAAGGCAAAGTTAGCTGAGACAGACAGTAACTGCTATGGGAGCTATAGTACTTCCCTGCTGGTGAGACCTGCTCTGCAACCCTGTCCATGGCAAAGCTGCTGCTTTTCTCTCCTCCCAAAACACAACCAGCGAGTGCCATGCAGAGAGTCAGGTGCTGTGCAGGCCCTCAGTCAGCACATGATGTGTTGGTGGCCTTTTAGAAGAAGGGAACAAACCAGCAGAATAAAGAAGAAGAGGTAGGAGCCTTAGTTTGAGATTTCCTTAGCCTGGCATTTCCTTATTTAATGGTGAGGCCCAGTGCTGACAAGTGTTGCTCCACTTCATTGCCCATCAAATCTGGGGTTCACGATGGTCGTGGTGGCACTCTTGAATAGGGGATTATCAGCCTGGAGGGATAAAGGTGAAAGTCCCTCAGTGTTGCAGTGTTGGATTTTCAGCAGTGTGTTACTCACCCCACCCTGACTATGAATGATGCAGACAGCACTGGCAGCCCCAAGGTCAAGCAGTGGGAAGATCCAGGTCTGCAACACTCTGGGCACTGCCAGCCGTGGCTGCCTCTGCAAATGATGTCCCCCCCATGCCCATCTTCCCTGCATGCCCCCTGCATGCAGGTGTCCCAAGGCCCGGTGTGCCCCACTGCTGCAGACAATTTCTCTTACCTCGTTCCACTTGGCCTTTGACTTCTCCTTCTCGAACCTGCGGTACTCCCGGCGGTCAAACAGCTCTGTCAGGAACCGCCAGATCAGCAGGAGCACCAGGCCGATGAGAGCCACACCGGCGATGGTCCCACCTACAATCAGCCCGATGTTGGGAGGCTCCGGGCACTCTGTAGAGCAAACATAGACAATTCATCTGCTGCCCCCGGGAGAGCTGGTAGGGCTGGGGCGCAAGGAGTGGGGCGGGGGTACCTTTCTTAGGGTCAACAGTGACAGTGTACATCTCCTCTCCGTCATCCTGGGACATGCGGAAGGACATCCAGCAGTTATTGGAGTCCTTCTCCTTGCACTGCCAGCTCCGTGCCTGTAGCTCTTCAACATATTGGATGTTCTTGCAGGCCGCCGAGCAGTTCTTCTCCAGTGGCCCACTCTGGAAGGCCTTGCACTCCACACAGGAGCTGCAACACAGGTGGATGTGACTTATCTCCACAGCGGTGGCTGTCCCCACCCCTGCCCCACCACTGAGCCCCATAACTCACACATATTTGCTGCAGGGCGAGGGGCAGCCGGGGCACTCCTCACAGAACGGGGGCTGATAGCCCCCCCGGCACTGGCAGCGGTTGCACTGGCAGGAGCCGCGGAGGCTGCACTCGTTCCCCCGGATGTTCAAACAGCCTTCTGTCGACTTCTTGCACTGGCAGGCACTGCCCTGGTACTCAGACGTGCACCTGCACTTGCCACAGTCGCACTGCCCGCGCTCTGTGGGGGAAAACCGCTCTGTTCATCATGGTCCTGAAAGGTTCAGGGCTGCCTGCACAGGAGGGGGCTGCAGGGAGCTGCCCTGACAATGCAACTTGTCTACTCTACCCACGTGTTATCCAGAGGTATCTTCCCTGGTACACAGAGGATGGGGATGGGGGAAGAGTGAAAAGGGGGAACTGGTCACTTTCTGCCAGCTCTGGCCACATCCTTGCTCGGAAGAAGCCCCTGTGCTGGGACTAAGGCTGCCTTTCCAGGAGGGGTTTTGTGAGGGCAGCACGAAAATATGCTCATGCAGCTCAGGCAGCAAGACAACCCTCCCTCTGCCCAGCTGCTCACCGGTGCCGCCACACAGGGAGCCGTTGTGGAACTCGCAGTTCATGTTGTCGCACTCGCAGAAGGTGCCGTAGATCTGCTTGTTGGGCACGTCGCTGGTGTGGCAGACACACTGCCCGCACACGCAGTCCCCTAGTCCTGAGCAGATGACTGAGCTGTTGTCCTTCCGGCAGCTGCCCTCCAGCTCTTTGCTGGTCTTGCCCTTGGTTTCACACTCGCAGTTCTTCCCCGTGTAGCCTGAATTGCAGCTGCCGTGAGAGGAGAGGAGCGAGTCTGGGTCATCAGCTGCCAGAAATGTTGCAGAGCATGTGCGGGGCTGGGCTCAGACCTCAGCCAAAGTGGAGCAAATCTGGGACAGCCTCACCGGAAACAAACATGTCACCAGGCGTCCGCACCACCACGTGTTGGTGCTAATTCTGGGCAGCACGTCAGTGGGAGACCTCAGAAATGCTGCTCTCTGTGCTGGTTATATTTACAACACCAAACGGTTGCCCGGAAATCATTATTATATTTATAATTTCCAAAGCCTTACAAGGCAATCTGAGTGTTTCCTGAGGAAACCCAGTCTTTTCCTCTCCCACACTGAAGGGCCATAAAGCAACACTTATGCCTAAAGACGTACATGAACTGAAGTGGGATTTTAAAGAGATTTCTACAGAAAGTTGCATCTGCTTGACAGATGGGCTGGTAGATGGTTGGATGGGTGGATAGTTGGATAGATAGAACGGTGGGTGGATGGATGGTTGGGCAGATGCATGGATGCCCTTTGGAAAGCATCAGAGACTCCACAAACAGAAGAGACCTCACTGTGTCCCTTGTCACCGCAAGCTTTAACTCCCTCTCCAAATAAGAAAATTGGTTCAAAGCTTCCGGGCAAGCCCATGACTGACTGCTCAGTGTAAATCTCTCTGCTGAGCCCTTACCAGGCCCCACATCCTGCAGGCACAAAGTTGCTGTGAGGAACCAAGCACAGCACACAGCTGCCCTTGGCTTGGCCTAACAGCCCTCTCCTAGCAGCTCTCCAGTTCTGGCCGCATTTGAAATAATATTTGGGGGGAAACAGCACTCACCTGCAAATCCCACAGACGACATTGCCTTTTCCATTGCAGGCGGTTTGGTCAGGCTGCTCTTCGCAGTTGCAGTCACAGTTGCTGTCTAGGTGGACGGTGAGCGTGTCTGTGAAGCCCAGTGGCCGGATGGTGAAGGACTGGCTTTGGATACACTCCTTTGCCGTGACCTTCACTCTGAAGGTCACCTAGAAGGTGCAGAGTGAGAAAGGGAAGGGAAGGGCTGGAGACCATCAGATGGCTTCTGTAATAAGAGGGTTGTATCAGCCCTAGGCTGAGCACACACATCCAGCACAATGGAGGACCCACCCCTCTCCCACTGTACTTCAGACACTTTGGACCTTAAATTCATGAGAACAAAAACTCTGGAACAACAGGCTGGGTTCCTGCATTTAGACAGGGAAAGCAGCAGGAACTTGCGAGCTGCATGGCATTCCTAATACAGGAGAACATACCTCGTCATTGATCTTTACGTTGTCACACTGCCCTCTTGCTTCATCTGAGACTACTTTCTTTGCATTGCAAAAGGAGTCATATTTGACATCCAGGACTTCTGGCAGGGTGGAGTGGTCCAGGATGATCCGTGAGGAGAGGTTCTGTGCGGAAATGGTGGAGAGAGTGCAGTCAGCCCAAGAAGAGACAGAAGCAAGAGGATGGGGCTTGCTTCCCCCAGCCCAGGGGACAAGGGCAGGGAGCACTCCAGGCCAGAGTCTCAGCTCCTGCAGTGGGGTGGGAATGGCAGGCAATGGCATCAGAGAGGTGAAAACTTCTTTTTTGCCGTGGGCAGAGTGGCTCAATGTGTCCCATCCCCTAAACCCCAGTTCCACCAGCTCTCTGATGATGAGGATATACCATGGGAACTTTTCCTTGCTTAACTCCTGCCAGATAGGTAAAATACATCCTCATCCATCACTTACATTGTAGGCCACCTGAATGAGTTCAATTATGTTGCTGGAGTCCTCATTCAGCTCCCCCACTGCTGACTTTGGGATCATTTCGCTGAGTTTCTGCCAATGGAGAGCAAAGGAGTGAGCAGCCTTCCCCACACAACAGCAATACCAGCAGGATGTGCATCTGTCCTCACAGGGAAGGACAGGAAGCACCTGAATCAACTGAAGTCTACTTACTTTGTAAACGTCTACCATCTTACTGGTGACAGCAAAAATGGGCTGGATGTTGTTCTCGGCAAGTTTCTGGACCAGCTGACCAACAGAGGGGTAGTCCTGTGTGAGGAGAGGGGGCTGCACTGAGTGTGACCTCCCCCACCAGTGGGCAGGGTTGTGTAGCCACTGTCTGGCCCCGGCACCACCAGCAGCTTGTGGCAGCATGGCCACAAGGAAGCCTAGGCTCAGGTGCAGCTCTCTTCAGTTTTGAGATTGTGACGATCTTGTGGTCTCAGCGATATGCTTTTAAGTGACATTTTTTTCTGCTTGTGGGAACGGAGTTGGGGTAGAACACAGGGAGACTGCCACCTGCATGGCGATGTCTCCGGTTACCTCCCTGCTACCTCGGAGGTCAGTGCCCGGCTTTTGCTGGTAGAGGTGCTGTGAGGAAGGTCACACAGAGCACCCCAAACAGCAATTCATTGCCTGATGCCGAGTGCTGAAACAGAAGCGTGAGGTGGGGCACCCAAGGCAGCATTGCCTCTGCTCCCAGGGTGCACTGTATCCATCACCCTGCCACATTGGGGCAGGTTCCTGGGGCCCCTCAGGGGCTGCCCACTTCCAATGCAGAGGTAACAGGAGCTGCCCCCAAGGGCTGAGGGTGTGGAGCCACTGAGCAAACCCGGGAACACAGCCTGGAGTACTTACAAACTCATTGCTCTTTTTATACATGTTGTCCTCCAAGTGGCACTTGCCGTCGTTGGGGGTCAGAATGCCCCCGAGCTTGCCATCACCAGCGAAGTGGAAGCCGTCGTCGGTAGCGTACACCAGCAAGCGGGTCACATTGCGCCAGCCAATCAAGTCCTGCAAGTGGCACGGGCAGCACTGAGACCTGTCCCTGAGCAGGGCTGGGGCCATGGTGCCTGGGCACGGCCCTGCCGTTGCCAAAGCATGGGACACAACAGCCATGGGAAGGGGTTGGGGGTATGGAGGAGGATCACGGGGATCAGATTCAGGAGGCTCTGCACTGAAATGCTCTCTTGTACCCAGCCTGGGCATAACCTGCCCGGCTGCCAAATTAGTACTTTTGCATGGACTGCAGGCCTGAAATTACACAATGTGTACCTGCAGCCTGCCTGGAGAGGGACAGAGCCAGCTCTTGATGAAGGAGCTGTAAGCAGAGGCGGCAGACCTCACACCTGCCCACAGCTGCAGCGAACAGGGAAGACATGGGGCTAGCTCATTAGGGACTCACCCCACACACTGCTGCCTGCATCATGGCATCCAGCCCCCCTTCTGGGGCATCCAGGTTCCCCGAGATGAACTGCTTCCCCACTTCGCTCTCAAACTTCTTAGCATTGTCGGTCAGTGAGAGGATGTGCTTGAAGGCGAAGGGAGGCTGGCACTGCTTGTCCTTGTTGGGGCAAGGGTTCTTCAGCTTCTCAGGGTGTGTGTTGACGAAGGGCAGAACTGTCTTGTCCACGAAGGAGCCAAAACCTAGGTGCCCAGAACCACAGTATTAGGGGCGAAAGCAGGTAGGGGCTAGTGGTTGTCCCCATGGCACTGGGCATGGACAACCTCCTGGCTCCCAGATGGGGTGCCAAGTATACGTACACATCCCTTGCCCTGGCATGCAGCTTGGCAGAGGATGGCTCACGCTTTCTGCACCCCACATTCTGCTCTGCCCTCCAGCAGAGCACAGCTCTTCCCAGCAGCAAACAGCTGTGTGGGGGCCCTGTGCCAGACAGGCTCACCTATGCGTCGAGAGGGTGTGGTACTCTCCAGTGCTCTGAGCAGTTCCCCTCCCAGCTTCTTCACCTTCTCTAAATCATCCAGCATAGAGTAGGAGAGGTCCATGAGGTAGTAGAGGTCAATGGGGTACCCCATGGCACGGCGAAACTTCACGTCAAATGTAGCGGGCTGCCCTGTGGGACAGGGACAGCAGGATCAGCAGCTGTGCTGTGCAGGGTCATATCTTGTGTCACCACCCACCCCGTGCTGGGATCCTTCTCTCTTTGGGAGGAAACGTGGAGGAAATGTGACCTACAACATGCCTCAGCATAGCTACATGCTCCATCCTTGCCCTCTCTGAGCTGTCACCTGTCCTCACATCTCCACTGGGACTTTTCCTCTGGGACTCCTCAGCTTCTGTAATTCCCTTCTCTCCAGGAGATCCCTCAGTTCCCCTGCAGGAGTGATCTCTTGCCAACAGCCCATTCAGTTTTGAGGCGGGGTGGGTGGGCAAAAAGCGTGTGTAACAAATGCTGGCCAGCTCTAGTTGCTACCCAGCTGAGCCTGGAGGTGAGCAGAAGATTATTACCAACACCGCAGAAACCGTACCTATCCTCAGCTTCAGGTGCACCTCCTGGGGAGTCAGCTGTATATCATTGCTCAATGCACTGTCCTGTGTCCTTCTAACTTCACTGCCTGGAAACTCAATCTCGCTCTGTGGGCATCCCTTCTGCTGCAGTTGCTCTTTGGTGTCGCAGCGGATGGAGTCCGGCTCACCAGCTTTGGTGAAATTCTGTGAGTTGCAACATCAACAGGAAAAATCAGAGGAGTGGGAGATAAGCAGGCACCCTACCACACTACCCAGCTCCCGAACCATGTCTGCTGGGTCTCTGGGGTATTGGTGGAGAAAGGAAGGCCTCATCGAGCAGGGAGGGCATGAAACTCTCCCAGGATGCTGTCCACCTGCTCTGCCACGGAGTAGGCCCGCACTAGTGCAGCATGCAGGGTGCCTCTCCATTCACTGAGGGTATGGGGGGCTACATGGACCTACCGGCTTCTTGCACCAGGCACAGCCAGGGCCAGACTGGATGCAGTCCTTGCACGTCCCCACCTTGATCTTGGGGCACTCCATGGTGAAGGCTGAAACAGGGAGGAGATGAGTTTGATATGTTGGGACGCCCAGGAGAAGCCAGCCCACCCCAGCAGCAGCTGTGGGGTGCTCAGACTCCAGCAGTGGGCACCCCCACTGTCTGACTGTCTTGAGCCCACTTAGCCTAGAAGACCTCTGCTGGAGACCCTGCCTTGCTGCCCCTTGGCCAGGCGGGCTTGAGTTAACACCAGATCCTGGGAAATGCAGGGCTGACCCTTGCATGGCTCTCAGTGTCATGTTTAGTGCCATGTTGGTGCCTGCTTCTGGTTGCCTCCAGCGCCGTCTCATTGCCCACATGAGGTGCCAGGATAAGGCGGGGAGGAAGGACAGGTGGGACTCACCCATTGTCACCAGCAGCAGCACCCATGTCACTGCTGGAAGCCAGAAGCAGCAGTCACGTGTCATTTTCTGCAAGACAAAAGGCAGCCCTGTGACAGCCTGGCACACAGCAGCCACAGGGAAGGGAGACGTCAAACCCAACAGAGAGTGGCTGCAAAGGGTGGTGGCACCAGGTGGACGTCTCTTTCCCACTGCAGAGTAGGTCCTGAGAAAGTGCCCTCTGTGAGAGCTCACATGCTCTTAGAAAAATAAGTCGGTCAGCAATGAAATGCATCTTTTTGGCGAAATGCAAAAGTCAGCAGGGCGGGAACTTGCACTGTGTCAGTACGCATCCAGCTAAACTGCTACATAGATTTAAGTGGTATTTATCCAGACTCTTTTACGTCTGTGTTTACATATATACATGTATGTAATACTGGAAAATCTCGAGCGCTACATTTAGTTTTTACTAGATGTGAAGTTTTTCAGCTTCTGTGTTAAGCTCCATTTGGATGGACATGGGAGATAAAATAAACAAAAGAAGCCTTTTGATTAATTAACTAACAGCACAGAAAAGAAGTCTGTTGGTACTTTCTATACATTTAACTAATACACCAAGGAAATTAAATATTTCATGTAGTGAATTAATATAAGTATTTCTGATGAGGGTTTCCAACAAGCAGTACAAACCTTAAATACAATTTTGGTATAAGTGCTGGAAAAGAAAACTTCTAACCCCATTTCTCATTACTGCCAGCTTTAACTTTAACTGAGCTAAACTAGTTCAATTGGCCAAAATACCAGAAAAATGCTCCCTTACACCACAGAAAGGCTCCCACAGCAGGCAGCACCCTGCTAGGACTAGGGACCAGGCAGCTCTGATGAGGGGAGAGCAGAAGGGAAAGAGCAAATGTTTCTCCCTCTCCACAGGGAGAACCTGATGCTATTTCAACGAGAGACTTAGAAACTTTACACGGTGTTTCCTTCCCTGGCTCGCGTTTTTCATCCATGCTGGATGAGAGAGGCTGGTGGCACCTTCCCACCCGCACGTATAGGATGTACACACGCTCATGGGGGCCATGTCCCATCTCCTGGGAGAGGCCACTGAAGGGAAGTGGAGAAACTCACTCCAGCTGCCTGGTGGAGTCCAGTGTGGCAACCACTGGACTGGCTCTTGTGCAAGTGTGCAGGATGAAGAGGAAGGGCAGGATGCTGGCATCAGATCCACACTGCTCTAGAGCAGCAGGGAGGGGGCTGGAGGGTGGCACCATGGGTGGAAGTTTTGCACATCTCTGTGCACAGAGATTGCATATCTCTGACCAGCGTGCAGGGAGGGACACCCAGCACATACCCCAGGGCTCCTGTAAGCCCCTGGCTGCTTGCTGTCCTCAAGGCACAACTTGTGCTGTAACACCAGCAGTTCCCAGCATGACTGAAATCCTGCTCTCAAACTTGTTTCCCAGGTGCAAATTGTTCTGGCTGCTCACACTACTTGCTTCTTGTTCCAAAGTACATCTCCTGAATCCAGAAACTAATGCTAGCCATCCAGTGGCTAAATTGTTCTCAGGGATCAGCAGAAATGTGAGCTGGTAAGCAACGAGCATGCAGCACCCTGGGCTGCTGTGGAGGAGACAGTGGAGGTGTGCTGCCACCACCCACTTGCAGTGTGCTGAAGCAGGGTGGGAATAAGTTGACGTGAGCCTGTGGTCACTTCGTGTGGCCACTCCGGACTGCACCACAAGCAGTGGTTTTACTACGCTGTTGATAAAATCATGTTCATTATCACCACTGTTTCTCATAGCACCTTTCCCCCAGCACAGTCCTGGAGCAAAACCCGACAGAGTTGTTGTGGTGGCTGTTGTATGGGCTGCTGCCAGGAAAGTTAACATTCCAGCTAGACCCAGTACAGTTGTGGCCTTACAAAACGGACATGTTCGGGTGAATGAGAAAAGAGGAATTTGCTAAAAAAGGAAAAAGGACAAAAAAAAAAGCACGGAGAAACAATAAACATTTCCCTTTTTTACAGCATTAGACACAACATCAGGAAGACAGTTCATTGGTTTTGTAATAGCTCTTACACTGCTCTCAGCAACCAAACAGCCCCTCCCTGGTTCCTGCAAGCGCTGTGAAGCGCCATCAGCTTCTCCTGCGAACCTGCCAAACTGAGCAGCTCTGAGTGAAAAGGAAACGAGAGGCGAGATAAACTTTCAAAAGGTGCTGAGGCCAGACGGGTAAATACGGCTGCTCAGATCTGCTGCTGAAGCGTGAGAACCTCTCTCTTTTTAGCTCCTCAGGTGCTGTAGGGCACCAGAGAAGTCAAGGATGACACTGCTCAGCCTTGAATAAAGGTCTGGTCTTCTCCTGGCAGCCTATTAGCTCTACGAGGCTGCTGAGGGAGATAGATGGGTGTCATTCTGTGACAACTGCAGTGAGGCTTGGTGCCTAGCTGTCCTATGGACTCAGAGATGTGACTGGATCACAACGGCTGGCTGCCACCACGGCTTATAGTGGAAATCATCTGGATGTGAAGATCTGCAGCCTTGGGAGACCCATGTTGGAGCCAACCTCCCCAGCAGCACTCCAACAGCAGTGCCACCTCACATCTGCACATACCAGGTCAAACCCCTGTGGTGACACAGCACAGGACTCTATTCTGCCGTGCCAATTTGTCAAGCAAACATGCACACGGCAGCCCCATCCTTGCCTATGCCTGTGCTCCTTGTGTCCCTGTGGGCATTCCACAGGTGACAAGCCAGGGGCGAAGAGTGCCTGGGCCATGTAAGCAATTCCCAAATAGTCCCACATCTATTATTTTTCTAGTTCCTAATGGATCAGCTACTTTTTAGCTGCTTTAAATGTCATGGTAAGGTATGAACTGAGCCCACGTGATGGCCTGGTCTCCACCAGACTACAGGTGTGAAACACACTTGCCACTTGCACATTGCTTAGCTGGCCAACGAGCACATTTTGGTCACCTCCAAATTCTGTCAGCACTTCTTGGGCTGACAGGTAACAGGTAAAAGTTGTTAAAGTCATGAAAGGTAAAGGGTCTTAGCAGTAAAAGCTTCTGGTAATGTGGGGTGAACTCCAGCTTCCTGCTGGTTCACATGCGTAGTTTTGCTCCCAGTAAAAGACTTCCAGCCCTGCAGTAACCAACAGCTGCCTCTCTCCAGGTCTGTAAGAAAATATATTCATCTCCCTGCTCCTTCTTGCACTGCTAAAGGCAGATTTATTACTGTCAGAGATCCTTGTTCTGGTGGGAGCACAGAGAGGTAGCCTGGGACAAGGTGTGCCCAACGCTCAGAAGGTCGCAGGGCACTCTGGTGGTGCCCAGGGGTGAAGAAAATGCATGAGCTTGTATTGCTGCAAAGCCTTTGTTGCAAGAGGAGAAACTTGGGGGTAGGTGCAGAAGGATAAACTCCTGATGTTCTCACAAGCTGGCTCCTGCTGGGTTTCACAGCTGGTGCACCTCTTGTCTGCCTCTTAGAATGACTCCTAATGCCAGTTTTCTCCCTCTCGCGGAAGAAAAAGCCTTTGATTGTACGTGACTTATTTAAGCCGGGGTGGGGGGAGCTTGTATAAGCCTCAGCTGTGGACTGAGGCTCTGTGAGCATCTTGCACTTGGCTTGCTGGAACTAGTAGGTTCATACTTACAGGTTCATCCCATAAAAGGGAGTGGGTCTCCAATTACAACGGGATTAAAAAAATCCTCCCAGTCTGCAGAAGTAGATTGGGAACCTCAATGTAAACCCAGCTCTGTTTGCTAATGAATTTTGTACTGTAGGGTTAATTTTCTGGACTGCATTTGGATGCCTTTGTAACGTTAAAAGTTGTTTCTTTCCCCACAGCAGGAGTGTAAAGGGGAGAACAGCAGCAGAAAGTGTATTGCTTCCTTTTCTTCTGCTGTGGTGGGAAGTTATTCACTGCTATGTGGGTGGATGAGTGTGTATGTGACGTAGGGTGTCCTTCAAAGGGAACAAATGGGGCTTCTGCTTTTGTCTGCCTCTTCACAGCACTCAGAGAAGGGTTTCTGTCTGACTGTGTTAGGAGGCCGCAGACAGAGGCCCCTGCAGCATGTTCTCCATCTGCGTTTGCCATCCATGTGGCTCCGTCCCAGCTTTGCATCGCCATGGCTGGTCCCACCTGCATTGCTCCTGCCTGTCCTTTGCTGGGGACAGGTTTGTTTCTCCCCTTTCTTTCAAAAGTTACAGCAAGCAGAGGGATGCACACAGCTCATCCTTCTGCTTGGCAGGTTCTGCGAGACAGGCAGAGTGAAGGCAGCCCCAGAGGACATGTGCAAGGACAGCCCCAGGTGCTGTTATCCCATGTGCTGGCAGGAGAAAACCTGAGCAAGGCAGCCTCACAGGGCACCTGGCGGGTGCTGGAGTGCTGCTGGGATGGAGCAGACCGGAGAGCAGCACTGGGCAGCAAGCTGGGATTTATAAATAGGGCTGAAGGGGAAGTGTCAAAGCTAGCTGCAGTCTCATTGCTATAAATAAGAGGCATTCAACAGCAGAGATGGGTGTTGCGGTCTTAAGGCTGTAAATCTTCGCTGCTTTGTTAATTGTCTACGTTTTCTTGTGAAATAGGAGGATGGTCTCCCATGTGCAGCATCCTGGGAGGACTCTTAGAACATTTGCACCATCTGCCTGTGACAGTGAGGCTGCCACGCACGTGTGATGATGAGTGGTGTAGGACGCAGCAAGGTGGGGAGGTAGATGTCACTTCTTTTGCTTAGTTTGGGCAAGATGGATAGTTTCCATCAAAGCAGACAGACGTACACAGGGCTAATCTCTGGCTGAGACAGATGCATCCCCTCTGTGCAAAATATGTGTGTGCCTATGTCTATATACACACACATCTATCTCTATGTATGTATGTGTATATATATATGTAAATAAAGTAGCCTTGCACGGTCTGCCTGCATCATCTCTATCTATCTATCTATCTATCTATCTATCTATCTATCTATCTATAATTGCTTATATAGAGATAGGTAAATATGGATATATAAAACAGCCTTTCAGGGTCTGCCTGGATCACTGATCAGAGCCTCCTGCTGTCACCAGTGCCAGCGTCCTGTTGTGCTTGTCCTAGACTAACCAGGGACATGTTTATCCACACACTGTTTAGGAACAGACAAGCTGTTTCTTGTGTCCTCAGTGCTTTCTGACTGCACACCTCCTGGCGAGCATCCCACCCTTTGGCAATGGCATTGAGAAGCGGCTCGCCTCTGATCCTGGCACAGGGAGCTGTGTTGAGAGACACAGGAGAGAGGCTGCAGATGTGGAAGACTTCCACTGTCTCATGTTTCAAGCGATGTGTCCTTCTCTGAGAAAATAAGCCAGGCATCATGATCACTAACCCACTGAGGTCACTTGCAGTTGAAATAGCCCTAGGATGAATAATGGTCGTCAGAGTGTAAAACCACTGAGTAAAGCAGGATGTGAAAACCGTGGTAGAAAAATGCAACATTTATAGCTCTCATACTTTTCAGCAGCTATGTACCAGCACCCGTGTCAGCCGCATGGCGTGGTATCTCTGTGAACGTTTGTGAGTTTGCTTTTCATCTCCCGGTGAGGCTGGGAGACAGGCTTTTAAAAATCATCGAAAATGGAAGTTTGTCTGCTTTAGCCTGATTCAAAACCAAACAGTGGTGGTCTGTCTGGCCTCTGCATGACACGTGGGGTGTACTTCATGTGTCCTACTTTTCCCTTTGCTGCATTAGTGAGCAAGCCTGTGTATCTGAGACTTGGTGAAGGACTTGCTCTGCCCAGGGAAAGCTCGCCTGCAGCCTCTGCTGCTTTCCCTGCCTCTGCCATGTGTTTTCAGTGGCCATTTGCAGAATGTAATGCATACAGAGAGAGATGAAGGAGAAGAGCAAGGATCTCACCCCCCCTCCTAGCTCTTATTCCTGACCTTCCCTGGTGAAGGCATCCTCATTTAGCAAGCCCTGATGGGACAGACCATTTGCAACTGTTTTGCCACCAACCCCTACTCACAATAAAGTCAAGGTTGTTCATAGGTGCAAGGTGTGACCTGCGCTCAGGGAAAGTTCCTCTGTGCCTGTGTACCACCAATGGCCCTGCACCAAGCCTCCTGTCATCCTTGTGCCTCACCATCCCATCACATGCCGGTTCCCTCTCCCCATCGGAGCTATCACGTCCTGCATCCACACAGAAGTGACCAGGGGGATGAGGGCTGCTCTGGGTGGCTCCCACACAGGAGCTGGTGCAGCCCCCAGCAGTAATTTTGGAGGGTGTGATGGGATCACCCCGGGTCAGAGCAGGAGCATGCCGTACTGCACCAACTCTCTTCTGCTTTCCAGGCCCACAGGCAGGTGAGGAAGGAGCTGTTGAGGGTCCGACACCTGCCTATAATAACCACCTGTACTTCCAGGCTCTCTCCTACCTCTGAAAGCAGAAATGTTGCAGATCAGGCAAGTCTGCCTTTGGCAAGGCTGCGCTTGACCAGAGGGAGCGATGAGCCCCGTGGCTGTATATCAAGCCGCAGCACACCAAGCACTTGCCTGACAGGAGGTTGGATTAAGAATTATGAAACAAATTCACTGAAAACTCCTTGGATATGAAACGGCTTTGTCACCCATCTGCCTCCCCCAAGAAAAGAGGTGTACAAAACCAAAATGCAATACTTGCCTCGCATCAAGCCCTCTCTTCGGCTCCTCTGCTGGGACTGAAGTGCGGCTCGTGGTCCTCAAGCTCTCTAGCTTGGCTGGCAGCAGCAGCCAGTCATTGGGAGATCTGCACTGTGCAGATCTTTCCTCCTCCTGTCTTGTCGCTTGGTAGGGGAGAAAGGAGGAAGTCAGAGTGGTGGCTGTGGGCGGGTGCCTTCCCGAAACCCAACTTGCCTTGCGCACCCCAGTTAAGGCCGAGCCCCACCCCTGGACCCCATGCCCCAGCCAGCTTGGTGAAGGGACCTTCCAAAAATGCCCATTCTGGTTTTGCACAGATCACCAGAAACAGCGCAGTGGGCAAGCAAGACCGGTATTGGGGATGCTGGAAAACTGGTCCCATGGTACCATTGGCTTGGGGGGCAGGGGAGCGAGGTCTCCCCTTCAGCCCCAGCCTGGCTCTGGTGTTTTTTGCCTCACAGGTGAGCTGCTGGTGTGGCAGGGCTGGGAAGGTCCTTCCCATTTGAAGGAGGATGCCAGTTCTGCTCTCACCATGGCAAAGTTCAGTTTATGACGTGTTTTTTTGAGCAGCCTTCAGATTTTGACATACAGGCTGCAGTTACTCCTCCCAGCACACCCACAGCTGAATTTCCCTAAACAGAGGGGAACTGACACCAAGCAACTATCTCTTAACCTCTTCAGTGTTGAAGTAAAAAATACACGGTGTCTTAATTTTTTTTTAGACAATTAATGTGGGACTTTTGTTATCTGCTTTCTAGGTTTTAGATGCAGGGGTTGCATCTGTTGGCCTTTCACAGCTTTAGTGAGGACTGGTTTCAAAAGCTGGTATAAAGTGTGCTCAAGGTGTGCTCATTACGAATAGTGGCAGTATACTGCAGCACGCTGCCATCTCAGTTCCAGCAAGGTCATGTTTAGTGACTCTGATGCATTTTTGGGCATCTGTGCATGCCCTACAGTTATAGAGCTTGGCTTACTTGCCCTGAAGCTCCTGCAGCAAGTGTACGGAATCACAATGCCAGCAGCAAATTTCAGAGCCATGACAAATGTTCTACATGTTACGTTTTTATTAAGGAAGATAACTGCAAGGCTCTGGGCTGGTCTCCTCATGGCCAGGCACCAGGGATAGCTGCAATGCCCCACATTCAGGAGCATCAGTGTGGCTGTAGCCTCACTGGTGCAGTGGGACGGCATGGATGGAGCTGGGGAAGCTGGCAGAGCTTCTGATTGTGCTGTGGACCTGGAAGAGGAAGTGTGGGCAAGCGAGAGGAACTGTTGTAATTCTTACTTTGAGCTTGCATCCTGTGTAACTCCTTACTGGGCTGCTGTTTTCTCTTCCATTCCTTCATTCGCTTCGTCAGCCTTTTTTGCCCTGCTGATAAAGGGTCAAGTGAAGGGTGTAGGATTGCCAGGGCAGTGGGGAGCTCCAGGCGTGGGTAAATGATAGGTCCCTGTAGCACAGAGCTGGAGCTTGCTGATGTTTCCTCCATCCTGCTGGGCTGCTCCTCATGTTGTCTTGCAGCCTGGCCTGGGTTGATATCCACAGCAAAGCATTGCCCACACTGCTTCCCAAGGAACCTTAACCTCCCCCTCCCCGGGCACATCAGTGCTGGTAGCTTGTTAGTCCAGGCTATTTATTGTGTGCATTAGACAACCCATAGTTAATCTCATAGTTAATGAGTTATTGAAATGCAGCTGGGGGACAATGCAGTCAGAGGTTACAGCCAACATGGGTTCACGAGGGGTAGGTCCTGTTTAACAAACTTAATTTCCTTTTATGATAAGATCACCCATCTAGCTGATCAAGGGAAGCCAGTTGATGTAATCTTTTTGGTTTTCAGTAAAGCTTTTGATACAGTTTCTCATACGATCTTACTGGACAAAATATCCAGCATAAAGATAGATAAAAACATCATACTGATAGGTGAGCAATTGGCTGATGGATAGGGCTCAAATGGTTATTGTAAACAGGGTTACATCAGGCTGGCAGATGGTCACCAGTGGGGTCCCCCAGGGCTCCATTTTAGGGACAGTTCTTTTCAATGTTTTCATAAATGATTTGGATGTAGGACTAGGTGTTTTGAGCAAATTTGCTGCTGATGACACTAAACTTGGAGGAGTTGTTTACTCTGTTGAGGGTGGAAAGGCCTTGCAGGTAGCTCTGGACAGATTGGAGTGCTGGACAATCACCAACCGCATGAAGTTTAACAAGAGCAAGTGCTGGGTCCTGCACCTGGGATGGGGCAACCCTGGCTATACGTACGTTTTATTTCTACATTTTATTTTTCCTTGCTACTGCTGTTTAATCCTGCTGCAGGTAGGCATCCCTTAGAGGCCTGTATGTTTGATCACAGTGTGTCACCACAGGGTCATTGAATGCTCTCCAGAGTGACTGTTTCAAGGTTTTAACCATTTCTTATTTTATTTCAACAACTGCCTTTATTTTTAGTACCTCTATTTGGAACTATCATGGATAACTACTTCTCCCCCTTCCTCACAGGATGTCTCTCGAGCAGTTGTGGCCAGGCTGTGCTAGGGGCTTGACCAAGAGTTAGCTGGCAGGTAGTCTCTGGTCAGCACTTGCCACAAGTTGTTGATTCTGGTGATCAGAGGTGTCAGTGCTGTTGATGTGCTCCTAAATAGTGCTCCCCAGCCTATGGCAGGACAACTGAACTCTTCCTGCTGTTATTCTCTGCTCCTGATGAATGTTAGTTCTTCCCTGGCATGTTTGTTTGGGGGAATCCTTGGCTGTGAGCATGTGTCTACACTGGACTTGCCTTTACCCCAAGCAGCATCACCTCACTGGGAACTTCCTCCTGCTCTGCCCACATCCTTTGTCCCCATGAGGAGGTCGCCAGCTCCTCCCTGCTGCATCCCACTGGCTTGGTGCATCACTTGCTACCCACACAGACCTCATGTACCCGCCACCACAGACTCATCAGACCCCGTGGCATGGCATCAACCCTTGCCTGCCACTGTGGTGGGAGATGGATGCACTGATGTTGGTCTTGGCTTTCCCTGGCTCACAGTCTCCTCCTCATTCCCCTGCAGAGACCCCTTGTAGACACTGATTTGGAAAGTATAGGTGGTAAGTACTGACTGCTGTCATGCTCCAAGCTGCCTCTCAGCAAGTCCTGCGTGCCAGGGCTGAGCAAGGATCTGGCAGAAGGAAACGGGAACCTCTCTGTTGCCAGTGGGAGATGTTTCCTGTTGAGAAACCCACCACTGGTGAGCACAGTATTTGTCATGGTGTTTTCTGCGATTTCGAAAAAGCGGATTAAAAAAAAAAAAAAAGAAAGAAAAAGAAACAAACAAACAAAACCTGATGCCCCGCAGAAGCAGAGCACATACCCACCCATCCTGAACTGCTAGACATGAGGGGGACACCATAGGCCCTGAGGATTTTTGGGGACAGGAGAGGCCATTTCGCGTAACGCCCCCTTCCTGCCACCGCCCCCTTCCGGCCCGCACACGCTCGGCCATGGTGGGCAAAGCCCGGCGCCAGCGCCTGCACCGCCCCGCGCCCCGCCTGACAGACCCGGCGGGCCCCGGCCCCGGCCCCGGCCCCGGCCCCGGCCCGGCCCGGCCCCGGCGGCTGGAGCGCGCCCGCCGGGAAGGTAGCGGGGGCGCGGGGCGGAGGGGAGGGGATCGGGGGCGGCAGCAGCAGCAGCAGCAGCACGCCATGCCGAGCCCTGTGCGCATGCGGCCAGCTCAATAAACCATGGGAGAAGGGGGTGTATCGCCTCCTAGGGGGTGGCCGTGCTGCTGGTCTCTGGGAGAAACCAGAGTAAATGGTTTGCTGCTGGTGCTGGTCATGGGTCTGGGTTTTGAAGGCTTCTCCAGGTGTAGCTAAGTGGTGCTGCTGTTGTGGAGGTGATCCCTCGTATCTGAGCTGTGGGCGCAAAGGATTGGTACTTGGTAACCGTTGGTGGCTCTGCTTCGACTCTGTGCAGGTTTCTGAAGTTTTTGAGGAGCTGTGAAATCTCCTTTAGTGGCTGTTGCCACGCTACCTTTGGGTTGTCCCTGCAGTGGTGTGGCGTCTCGCTGGGGTTGGCATGTCTCCCCTGCTCCTTCATGTGAGGGGCAGGCTCTGGGAGGCACTATCCTGCAGCTTCAGGTGTGGCTTAGAGATGTCAAAGGAAGCGCTCCTTGACGTGGTGAAGTGCTGCGATACAGGCCTACTGCCCGCTGGCAGGATGTCAGAACAGCAGAAACTGAGTACAATTTCCAAAATGTGGGCCTCCATTTCATTCTTAGAAAAGCCGTGTGATGCCCTCAAAGCTGTTGTAGCACTGTCCTTTGTTGGGTGCCTGACCATGTCGTCACTAGCTTGGATGAGCTGGCGTGGGTAATGGCTTACCAAAACAGGCAGGGAGATGAGATGAGAGATGCTGGCATATGTGCCATGAGGGTCCCAGTGTGCTGCTCTGGTGGCTGTTACAGCCACTCCAAAATGTTCTTAGTTAGCATGTGATGTCTGTGCACCTGCAGCACCAGGCTGTGCAGAAAGGAGAGGCTGCCGAGGGAGGTGGCAGTGACAAACATCTGCTGGGATTTATGCTGCGGCTCGCGGGTGGGAGTGCCTGTGTGCCCACACTGCCTTGGAGCAGGTAACGTGGGTGCAGTGGCGGGCATTGTTACCAGTGAGTGTCAGGACTGGAGGAGTAAGAGACCGCCTGGCTCGTTTTGCAGCGTCTCTGTTGATTTCTGGCTGTGGCAGGTGGAGATGAGCTGTCATTTTATGCATAACTATTTAGGAGACTTTTGTCAAGTTTCAGCAGCTGTATTATTAATATGCTGTTCAGGTTAAAGCTGGATACCTTCCTCGCTTGCAGTAAGAATGCAGGAACAGCAGTAAATGATTTTTATTTACCTACAGCTTTTTTTTGGGAAAGAAGGAATAGGTTGCACCATATCTATGTGTTTTTATACCTCCATAAAATTGTGTGCCTGTACTGAGAGATACTCCTGGTTAAAATAGTAAGTTCTTCTAAGCAAACCAGAGAGGCTAATGCAAAGCTTAGGACTTATGGAAGTACTGCATGCTTAAAGGAACTTGATGCTGGAGGTCTGGTAAGTTGCTAATAGTTCGTCACTGAACCTGCTTAATGTCCACAGACATAGGCAACAACTGGGCAAATCCTATTTGTATCATTCTCTATTTACATACATGTTA